GTGCCTTTTCAGAGAGAAATGTCAGTCCTTCAACTACAACTTTAACAAGATCACCTGTGAGCTGAATACCATCAACAGCAGTATTACCGACGCTGTCGTGTCATCTGACAAGGGAAGTGCATACAGTGACATCGAGTCATGGCCAAGACGGATCGCTGGTTCATGCCAGAACCACAAATGTGCTGGCAGCTCTGTGTGTCTGGAAAACAGGAAAGGGTCACCCTACTGTACAATAGAGTGCCCAGATCCCCCCAGCTGTAAGAAATGGTCACATCCTCTCTCAAAGCACTTGCCATGAAGTTGGTTGTGTCACTTCCAGAAGAGAACTACGTTGACTACTCGGACACAACTTGTGAATCCTTTATCAGCTATGGATTGTGTGTGGGATGCAAATCTGTAAAGTATGAAAAGTTTCAAATAACGAAAGTATCCAGCATGCAATCAAATCGTGATGGCCTCAGAGATTGTACGTTTACCAACATATCAAGATCTTGCATCCAAATACAGTTTGCATCCGTGTTTGACTGTCACGCAATGTGTGGTAGCCCTGATTCGAGACTGTTTGTTATTGATACAAGGGACACCGGGCTGATGATTGATCCAAGGCAAAGATGGTCTGTTGCTTCGACAAGAGGAACACTGAGTTTGGAAAATGTGACGAAAACATTTTCGGGACGTGTTATCCAAGGGCGCTGTCGTGCACAATGCCGATGGTGTTTCCCAGACAAAGACACTCTGACTTTTGTGCTGGATCCGGAATATTTGCCAGATATTAATACGGCAACTGTCCCAAAATGTGGCTAGCTGTACATTGTTACCAAACGTGACCCTTGCATTTCAACACTGGACACAAATTAGAAACGTAATAACAGTCTCAATTCTTTGAAGCGGTAGAAATCGTTAAAACTGGAAGCATAAATAGAACATAAGGGTAAAGAGTACCTTATTCTTAAGCTTCGTCTATATAAAATAAACTTAATTTTATCGTTTTACTGTTATTGTATGTGATCATACCCCGGCGTTGAAATTTTAAAGAATGAATTGTCAGCCTCAAGGCTCTAATCACACGTTTCCGTACATATCAACACAAAAATCATTGGAACTTGCGTTTGTTTGATTCATATCCACTTGAAAAAGAAAACTAACGTGAAGAATTATCGGAGCGAAAATGATTATAGATGATCTCTTCTCTGGCTTGTTGAGTTTAAGTTCTTCAATGATGTCTGGTCCCGGTTAAACAGTCTTCTTGTTTTTCCTTCGTTGTACTTTGACAAAATATCTTGTATTAGTTTTCATATCTTTTCAAATGGGAACTTAAAAACCAACTGAAAAGCAATCTGCATATTACAATTTTACAATCTTGATTACCGAAGCTGGCTTGCACACTAAGCTCACAACTGACAATCACTAGCCGACTCATCATGAGTGAGTAGTGATTCACCTATCAATTAACAACCTATGCGCTGTGCATTGTGACATTGAATGTCGGTACGAACTTTAAACATTATTTTGTTCATTGTATTTCACTCTTATACCATCAATGGAGAAAAAAGGAAATATCTACTTAAATCAGTCAGTTGTAATCAGTAACACTACTACAGTAACACTACTGACTTAGGCAATAAGCGGGGGAAAAAATTCAGTCTGTAAACTTACTGTCTAGTCGTTAACTTACTGTCTAGTCGTTTTAGTCAGTAAGGCTACTGACTAGGGAGTACCTTATTGACTGCGCCGAGACACTACTGACGGAGTTTCGTTATTGACGCTAACAGTACATATATGATAAAAAAAAACATTACTTACATACTTTAACTTTCTACTTTCAAGCCACTGCAAATATATAGAATGAATGATTGCAGTATATGTGCATTTGTTCGTATCTATCACGCTATTATCCTTTCAGAAACATACAAGTCCAATCTCCTCAAAATCTTAATATCAATATTGATCATCCTGCTGTTCCTTATACAAACGGATCATAGCCTCGAAAGCTAATTTCGCAGCTTTTCTCAGTTGAATGAGCGTAGCCACGGCGGTACATGGAATGCAATGGTATGGCTGAATGAACGTAGCCACGGCGGTACATGCAATGCAATGGTATGGCTGAATGAACGTAGCCACGGCGGTACATGCAATGCAATGGTATGGCTGAATGAACGTAGCCACGGCGGTACATGCAATGCAATGGTATGGCTGAATGAACGTAGCCACGGCGGTACATGCAATGCAATGGTATGGCTGAATGAACGTAGCCACGGCGGTACATGCAATGCAATGGTATGGCTGAATGAACGTAGCCACGGCGGTACATGCAATGCAATGGTATGGCTGAATGAACGTAGCCACGGCGGTACATGCAATGCAATGGTAATGGTATGGCTGAATGAACGTAGCCACGGCGGTACATGCAATGCAATGCAATGAATGCAATGAATGGCTGAATGAACGTAGCCACGGCGGTACATGCAATGCAATGGTATGGCTGAATGAACGTAGCCACGGCGGTACATGCAATGCAATGGTATAGCTGAATGAACGTAGCCACGGCGGTACATGCAATGCAATGGTATAGCTGAATGAACGTAGCCACGGCGGTACATGCAATGCAATGGTATGGCTGAATGAACGTAGCGCGCTTCCTTGGAGGCACACGCATATTACAAGGAAAGCAGGATTAACGTGAACACTCTTTAATTTGGGCACATATGAAAATAAAAATAAAGTTATTTCCACATTTTCAGGTCTATTCTTCACATACATTTTCTTTAATTCAACACTAAATTATCATTCGCATTTAAGCACTATATAAACCAGTTGTAGGTTTCCATTACAATAACAGACTAGTGTCAATGTACTTCAAGTTCAGGACAGTTTGAGCAGTTTGGACACGTGGTCTGTGTAGGCCATGTCCCCGATGATGTTGTTCACATGGTCGACTTTCAGGGTTCGGATTCAGGGAGTCTATGTTCCTGTAGCGCCTAACCCGTGAATGTCCGGGTTAGAATATTGATCTTCAATAACCCATGCTTGTCGTAAGAGGCGACTAACGGGATCAGGCGGTCAGGTTAGCTGACTTGGTTGACACATGTCATCGGTTCCCAATTGCGCAGATCGATGCTCATGCTGTTGATCACTGGACTGTCTGGTCCAGACTCGATTATTTACAGACCGCCGCCATATAGCTGGAATATTGCTGAGTGCGGCGGAAAACTAAATCACTCACTCAACTATGCCAGATGGCGGTGGCTCAATGCCCAGTCTGGTGATGTTGACCTCCGAATTCAAGATGTATTCTATTTCTTGTCATGGACATTTAATTTGGTATACACGTACTGCTATGTGCCTCATACAGACTTGAATATAACACCCCTGCATCCCTGGTGTTAGCATCTTGGAAATCCGGTGAAAACTGACACTGTCCTTGTTGACACTCCGTGGTGGGTGAGGAGTAGGGGCGCTGAATCATGTCCTTTCACCATGTCACAAGTAAGGACGAGAGTTTATAAATTGATAAAGTTGATACTGCAAATCTAATTCATTAAATGAGCGCCACACTGCCCTTGAGCAACCCAATGAGACAGCAACAGGGCTGATAATATTCACTATCATCTCTTGAAGCATTTTCCTGATTCATGTCTAGAAACACTACTGGATACATTTGACCATTTGACTTCAGGGAATTTTCCACCTTTGGCATAACGCCATTGTAGTTTATCCCAAAGCCTGGCCGGGATCATTTATATCCTTCTAATTATAGTCTGTAAAACCTTGGAACGAATGGTAAGTAATACATTAATTTCATATCTGAAAACTGATTGCAAATATTCACTGTTGCGAAAAACAGAAGTGTTATTGATCATTTAGTACGACTAGAATCCTTTGTTGAAAGTGCTATTTTCTTTGATTATGAGAAAGCCTATCTTACTACCTGGAAGCACGGCATTTAGGGTTAAGCAACGGATTTTCATGATTTTGGTTTGAGAGGTCGTTTGGCCCAGTTTATCAGACAGGCAACAGTCCGATCATTACAATCAGGATCAATTGTGTTATACAAGGCAACATTTTGTCTGTGACATTATGTAGTATTAAAGTAAGTATTCTTCCAAAGGTTTTAACTGATTAAGTTGACAGGTCACTTTTCGGGGATGATTTAATGTTTCTTGTCATCATACAAATATGCATACAATAGAGAGGACACTCGAAAAATGCTTTCATGATTGTAAATCAAAAATATAATATATTCTTACATTCCGCAGATAGTATTGGCAGCATAAAAACCTGAACTACTTTTTTAAATGGCATACCCATTATAGCTGTAAAGGAGGCCAAGTTCTTTGGAGTATTTTTACTCCCATTAAACATTTTTACCGCACATTAACTAGAGGCACTCGATTTGTTGAAGTCATTTCCAGTTTAGAGAGTGGAGGAAAAAAAAGGAGGATTAACTACCTTCCTACTCTCATATAGAAACTCTAATCTTGAACTTCGAGCCTCACACTATCTAAACATACGGCAAAGGTCATACTAAACATATTACACAACTCACCCAATGTCACCTGCACATATTGTATATAGAAGATTACTATTTTTCGTAACAAATACCATGTTTACCTCATCAAGCAAGACAGAATTTTTATATTTTTGTGATGATGCAATGTAGACTCATCTGAGTGATATTTTACATTTTACAGTTTTCTGCTGGAACAAGTTTCAAATATTTATATGACAGAAAGTAAATTTGATTTATAACGGGGAGTAAAATTGTTAGGGTCAGTAACAAAATTTTGGGTCAGTAGGGAAATCGGAAACCCAAGATTTATTTTTTAGGCCTTAACCCCCATGTGCTACCCTCCATAGGAAATAAATTACCAAATTTACCGGTTGCAGTTGTTGCATTCTTGAAAGAGCTGTAATTGTTTTTGCCCGCACTCTTAAGGCTTTTCCATTTCTTGATAACCTCATCTCTGCTTCGTTGTTGCTGTCCATTTGAATTGATGGTGTCTGTGATTTTCTAAAGCATAAAGTTGTTAACAATTGGATTAATATCACCTCCTTGATTTGAAAATAACTAAATAAATTTTTGTTTGGCATTCTTCAATTGGAGGAGGGAAAATGAAAATTATTTAAATTGATGAAAAACTAATTTTTCAGTGCGTTTAATGATTTCTCTGTTGATTATGTCAAGTCAGAGGGAACAAAGGTAAAAAGGATGCCAAAAAAATGTATATAAGTACATCTTTAAGGCTTAGTAATTGTGTACCATTATTCATGAATATGTGTATTATGAATTGAAGCCCTTTATTGGATTCCAAAACAGAATGTAGAGAATATTTCTGTAAATAAACAATCTTACGAACAGCATACGTCATATTATAAGAAAGTCACTGTCTTTGTTTCATATCAACTATTTTTGAAAATATCAATTCGGAGATACTAGTAGAAAGAGGGTAAAAATAACCACCTATTAAAAACACTCAAGGGAATACATCAAGCAAATAAGGATGAAATACATTATTTCCTTTCATATTTTGGGCATACTTCAATACATTATTACCCCAACATTGCTCACCTGGCTGGATTCATAGAGACTGCTGCGGAGGAGGCGAATGATCCTGTGTTTGGAACAATCAACTTCTCTAGAGATGTCAAAATGAATCCAAAGAGGAATTCAAAGAGGAATTCTGCATCTAACTTTAATATTCAAAGCAAAGCTGGCTACAAAGGATATGGAGGGCAAACACAGTTTGGAAGAAACAAAATACCGGCTTGCAAGTATTGTACTGGTGACCATGCCATATACACTTGTACACAGTTCAAACAGATGAGTCCAGAAAAACGGCATGAGTTTGTTTCTGAGAAGCATTTGTGCTATAACTGTTTCTCTTATCAACATATGTCATACAATTGTTTACATCCAAGCAAATGTGGCGTGGATGGATGTAAACGTAAGCATTCAAGACTTTTGCACTTTAAAAGAAGCCAGTGTAGTCGGTCTAATGATGCTGAAAAGAAATATCAGGAAATATCTAAACAAACAACAGTCCAGTCTCTTCACAATTCAGTGTGTGGGGTTAATGGGGCCGGGATGAGTAGGGTAGCTCTTCCCACTGTACCAGTTATAATCAAAGGCTGTGAAAATAACTGCGTCAGGACTTATGCCTTACATGACCCAGGAAGCACAAATACTTTCTGTACACAGGACATAGTTAAACAACTTGGCCTTCAAGGTAGTAGAACAACTTTATCACTGACCACACTGACTAGTGATAACTCAAAATCTGACACAAGTATAGTAAATTTAGATGTTGCTGACTTGAGTGGTAAGCACTGGATAAGGATGCATCATGTTTTCGTGATTCCTGAAATTCCAGTTTTTCCAATCAGTATGGCATCTCAAAGAGACTTAGACATATGGCCACATTTGAAAGATATCAGTCTGCATGAACTGGAAGGGGCTAAGACAGAACTTCTTATTGGACAAGATAATCCCTCAGCGCTGGCACCATTCGACATTTGTAGAGGAGTTTGGATGAACCCTATGCTTCAAGAACGACGTTAGGCTGGGTGGTAAATGGAGCTTGGCAGCCCTTGTGCAGTAACATCTCATTATGTCCAAGCTGTGCAAAAGGATTGTGAGTTACAGTCTTTAGTGGAGAAGTTTTGGAAAGTGGATTCACATGGAGTGGATAGTGAAGTTACTATGTCTGTTAATGATCAGAAAGTTGTTAACATGTGGGACCAAAGTGTGGAAATTGATCATGGACATTACAAGATGGACATTCCATTTAAGTCTGATATACCAGAGTTGCTGAACAATTATGCCATTGCGGAAGCAATATTGGAATATCTGTATAGGAGACTTTCAAAGGACCAGAACTTGGCTGGAAGATATCAAGACAGAATAAGAGACCTATTGCAAAGGGGATATGCAGAAAAGGTGCCTGCTAATGAAATCATTACAGGGGATAGGCCGGTTTGGTACATTCCTCATCAAACAATTGTGTTCGATTGTTCCGCACAGTGTGCAGGTACAAGTTTAAGTACTGAAATCCTACAGGAACCTGATCTTACCAACAAACTGATTGGTGTACTTCTTCGATTTCGGCAACGAAAGGTGGCTTTTATGGGAGACATAGAAGCTATGTTTCATCAAGTGAAGGTTAGTGAGAAGCATAAGGATGCACTGCGATTTTTGTGGTGGCCTAATATGAACAGGACTAAACCACCTCAGGTGTATAGAATGACAGTACATTTGTTTGGCGGGGTATGGAGCCCCAGTTGTGCTTCGTATGCTGTTAAGACGAACAGCAGGGGATAATGCTAACGACTTTGATCAGGAAACAGTTCGAACAGTGCTTGACAATTTATATGTAGATGACTGTTTAAAGTCAGTGCCAGCAGAAGATGAAGCCATTTGCCTAATTAAGCAGCTCTGTGAGCTACTGTCAAAGGGAGGCTTTAGGATGACAAAGTGGATCAGTAACAATAGAACTGTGTTGGATTCCATTCCTAGTGAAGAGAGAGCAAAAGAAACAAGAAGACAAAGTCATTAATATCCCCCGCAACGGCACCATACTCTTTATGAATATGTCTACTAATTATGATTATGTCAATGTTTTGGAGGGTATACAGCAAAGTGTAAGGAGAGTATTGAAAGGTTTTAAGATCTGCTCCAGAAAGGAGCCCTGCCACCAAATTCAGTTGAAGCCTAACTTGTTGCCATGGAAAATGCAACAAGATAACATCCTCATAGCCTAAGCCATGTTTCCATGGACACCACAAAAACTACAATTCATATCTGGATCTAAACCCCAAAAGGCACACACAGGGATCATGCTTGATATGTGTACCAAGTTTGATGAAGCTAGCATGTATAGTTTGGGAGATCTGCTCCGGACAAGATGACATCCTCATAGTCACAGGTCCCTAGTATGGTGATCTACCTTCAGTTGTTGGTGATCTATAGCCCATTTTTTTTATCGTGTTGTCCCCTATTGTTAAAATGTTTTAGATTTAATTACTAGTTTTACATGTATATCTGTGGTATTCTAGTTGTTTTACTGTCCTTTGTCGACAGGTTTTTATAATATATATAAACCTATAATAATTGATAATATATTTATAATATATATAGATATATATATATTTATATATATATATATCCCATCTCAATGTCAAATGTTCTCGTCACGGTATGGCTGAACTATTGCCGATGTGACGTTAAATATTAACTCACTCACTCATAGTCACAGCCTCAGTCATGTTTACTTGGAAACCGCAAAAAAAAAATTCCCATCTGGGTCTAACCCCCAAAAGGCGTTGATATGTGTACCAAGTTTGGTTAAGATATCACCTATAGTTTAAGAGATATGCTACGGACAAAGTGTGACGGACGGAACTCATTTCTATATCCCCCGGAACATTGACTTGACTAGTGACTTTCTACCTCAAGAGCGAGCGAGCTCTTGGCGTAAAGTGGAGTACAGACTATGACACAATTGGGTTTCGAACTACCAGTAAATCTAAACCAGCTACCAAGAGAGGGTTAATAAGTATTATTGGTTCAGTGTACGATCCTTTTGGTTTCATCTGCCCTGCTGTCCTCAAGACAAAAATCATCTTTCAAAGTGAATGCCGATTACATAAACAAAGGGATGACCCACTGGAACAAGACAATGCCCAGAAATGGTTTGCTAAGCTTGAGAAATTGCCGTCGATTGAAACTTTTGTGGTTGACCGATGTTTAATCCCATCAGGGTTTGAAAACTCGATTTGTAAGTGCGATTTGTATCACTTTGCTGATGCATCATTGGCGGGGTATGGCACAGTGTCGTATCTACGAATAGTCAACAATGAAGGACAGATAATTTGCGCTTTTGTGATAGGAAAATCTCGACCTGCGCCTTTGAAGCAAATGAATTATCTGCTGTTTTGATGGCAGTTAGAATTGATCAAATGTTATGCAGAGAACTGAGAATGGAAATTGGGGATTCCATTTTCTGGTCTGATAGTATGACAGTTTTACATTACAATCAAGAGTAACAAAACCTTCGGGGCAGATCAAATGAGTGCTATTTATTCAGGTTCTTCACCGGACAGTTGGCGATATGTTGGATGAGACATAAATATAGCTGATGATGCATCCCGTGGCTTAGATGCTGATGAAATTCTTCATCTTGATCAATGGATTTTTGGCCAAGTTTCTTATGGCAAGAGGAGCACAGATGGCCAGTGATAACTGATATATTACAGGTATCAGAGTTCAGAGAGGTAACACAGTAGAATCTTTTGTACAAGTGAATACAACTGTGTGTGGTATGGACAGATTACGGGAGAGGTTCTCATCATGGCTGAAACTGAAGAAAGCCACAGCTTGGCTTCTGCGATTCAAACATTGGCTGCTTCAGAGATCAAAGGGAACAGAATTTACATCAACTGTTTATCAGAAGCATTTGACTTTACAAGAACTGAAGACTGCAGAAGTTCAGCTTGTAACGTATTTACAGAGATGTCATTTTCATGAGGAAATAGATTGTCTGAAAAAAGGTGAACAAGTAAAGAAATCTAGTCAACTCTACAAACTTGATTCAGTCTTGAATTGTCTTGGTGTTTTGTGTGTTGGAGGTTGTTTGGGTAACGCCCCTATTCCAGAAGAATGCAAACACCCTATAATCATTCCAAAGAATCATCACGTTGAGGTCCTTGGACATTCAGGACGAGAACATGTTTTGTCTCACATGCGGCAAAATTTGTGGCTTATCGATGCACGTACCAGAATTAACAAGATACTGCGAAAATGTGTCCATTGTCGACGACATCAGGGTATCGGGAGCTCACAGCAAATGGCAACTTTACCCAAAGAAAGGGTAACTCATCACAAACCACCATTTACTTATGTTGGAGTTGATTGTTTTGGCCCATTTCTTGTGAAAAGGGGCAGAAGTTTGGTAAAGCGATACGGATGTTTGTCCACATGCCTGACAGTGAGAGCAATACACATTGAGAAACTTGATTCTGTGGAAACATATTCCTTTATCAATGCCTTTGAGGCACGTCAAGGAAAACCAGAGATTATTAGATCAGATAATCGGACAAACTTCAAAGCTATTCGGGAGTTGGATCAAAGTAAGATCTACAATTCTATGCTGGATAGAGACATACAGTGGATCTTCAATCCACCCACCGCCTTACGCATGGGTGTATGTGGGAAAGGCAGATTCGCACGGATCGCAAAGTTCTGTCAGCTCTACTTAGCAAACAGTGATTCTGTTCGCGAAACTCAAACACTGTAATTCCATTACATTTGTGAGATAATTTACATGAAGGACTCTTCCTGAATGGCATTTTAAGTTCATTTTCACTACCAACGAGATCAACTGACTCAGTACTTAATCACACAACATGTTACATGATAAAAAATCACTCGAGATCTTACTCACTTGCCATGTCTCCTGGCGACTCTCCCTTCACTACCTGGGGAAATTTCCGCGCAATCGCCTGCTTGTCCGCCTTGACGAGATCCGCTAATAGACAGTCCAGTTTGGCTGTCTTTTCCGTGAACTACTACGCACAGCAAAAATAACTTAGTTTCCGTTCTTGCGGAAACTCAATGTAAAAGAACGGAAACTCACTGGATTCCAGGTGGAAACTTAAGTTTCAGTCCACTTTCCACCAGGTTTCCACATTGCGGAAACCTAGTTATTTTTGCTGTGACAAGTACCGGTGTTATCAACATCTCATTTTGTTTACGAGTGTCGTCTGATGTAGACATCCGGGGAATTCCGTAGATATCCCATGACGGGGTGGAAGTTTATTCGGGGATTTCGCACGCATGGTTATATAACTGACTAGGTGTATTTACGCAGACTTAGCTAAGTCTCTGACTTAAGTTTATTATGAATACCGACTTAAGTTTTTGACTTACCTGAGTTATTTCTTCTAGACTTAAGGTAAAAACTTAAGAATTTTTTTAGACTTTTAGAATACAGTCCCAGATAACCACACCGTTAAGCAAGCAGATACACCGTACATAACTCGAATAGGCACCCCTCCAAGGTCGACTGTTTATAACAGTGACTCACACATACTCAGCACCGACATTGTTGCAGTGGGGTGGTTTGATTTTAAGCGTTCGCTCGTAACGCCGAAGGTTTGGGTTCGATTCCCCACATGGGTACACTGTGTGAAGCCCATTTCTGGTGTCCCCCGCCGTGATATTGCTGAAATATTGCTAAAAGTGGCGTAAAATCATACTCACTCACTCTCTAGTTGATCTATCGATTCATTCACAAGCAAATTCTACAACAACCAGTGCATAGAGAGAGTGAGTGAGTTTGGTTTTACGCCACAGCAATATTCCAGCTATATGGCGGTGGACCAGTGAATAGAGAACAATGAATTCATTCATACAATATTTCGTGCTACTACCGGCCAAAGAGAAGGAGTACATTTGCCATCGTATATTTCGGAGCTTGCGTATTGTTCCGCTGTGTGTTATGGCCACGGAGAAGCAATTAGGGCCAATAGTATGAGAAATACATATTGTACTTACAGAATATACATCGTGTTATTACCCGCAAAAGAGAAGAAGTATATTTGCCGTTTCATATTCGTGGGCTTGCGTATTGTTCCGCTGTATGTCATATACACCCAGAAACATTCGGGACGATTAGTAAGAGAAATACATATTTTTGTTCTTACAAAATATATCCCGCTGCTACCGCCAGAAAAGAAGAAGTATACTTGCAATATTATATTCATGGGCTTGCGTATTGTTCCGCTGTTTGTTATGTTTCGGGATGAATAGTAAAAATACAAAATACATTCATCTGTAATTGTATCATTAATTAATGATTTATTAAAATATTACATTGCATCGGTAATATTACAGCCTTATAGCGATGAAAACAAGGTAATCAATTTAAAATAAATGTCGACAACGGGCAGTAAAACCAACTAGATACGATGCTATCGCGATATCTTGGAATGGTATGATTCGATTCGATGCATTCCTTCAGCGATTGGCAATGTTAAGTAATCTAGCCATAAATTTAAAATAACATATTTGCTACGATGAAAAATAGTAGTAGGTTCAAATTAACTTTGAATATTTTGAGACTTACGTACCCTCTCAGGAGGACAATAATTTTACAATACTTCAACCCCCTGTGACGGTACAGCCAAACTACCAAAAGTCAATAATTACATGAAAATTAACAGTACTAAAAGGGACCTCAACAGTTTTTACATTGAAATACTTTTCCCTTGTGATGGAAAAATCAATACAGTCAAGCAGGACATACAAGAATTTATGTCCTAACAATAAGAAAAGTCGTTTAACAAACTATCATTAACATTTTGACACAGTTCACTATTTGTTATGAGGGAGGAGTGCAAAGAGAGGAACATCCAAGTGTACCTGGAGCACGTGGACAAGTGCCGACAAAGTTATTGATTAATTTACCTGTGCTGTGTGTTTCCATCCTTTCTCGCACACCTTTCGACTATATGCTGCAAATTGGCGTAGTTTGTTATTAGTAAGTGAGTGAGTTCAAATTTAAAGTCACTTTGGCAATATTTCAGCCATATCGTGACTAAATCAATCTAGAGATTAATAAAAATTATAGGAAAATTATAAAAACCTGCCAACGAAGGACAGTAAAACAACTTGATTCTCACAGGTAGAAATGTAAAGCTAGTAACTAAATCTAAAACATTTTAACTATACAATATAAAAACAGGCTATAGATTGCTAACAACTGAGGGTAGTTCACCATACTCGGGAAACATGGGGACTTACAGTACATTTGCTTCCTGCATGGGCCTTAGTTGGATTTACATAATATCCCCAAATCTTGCCATAAATTAAAATATATATATTTTACGATTTAAAAAAAGCGGAAAGTTTAAATATACTTTGAATGTTTTGAGCGTTACGTATCCTCTCAGGAGTAGTTTGATATTAGGTGGTGAACACGGAATTGTTTTGTAATTGTGGTATTATGGTTTGAGTTGACACGTAAATATCTGATTAACTATAAGTCCATTTATCATTACTGCCGATTACAATAGAAAACGTAGCATGTATAATATGTGCAGCCAGCGCTGTCAGAACCCCCAGCATGAATGTTGGGGAATTTGCGCCATTGATAGATGGAGAAGGAAGACTAACACTTAGCCCCATAAATTCTATCACTTTGAATGAAACACAAACTCCATTTAAGCTGAAAAGGAGAAGGGAGATTCCGATCACAATTTCAGAAAGAGTTGGGCGGAAGGGAAATGGTATTGCTGAGGGACTGTAAGACAACCTTTGGAAAATGGATTGGTTTAATAGACAGTCTAAAAATTCATGAAATTTGAAAAGCTTTCTGTCCGCAAGATCAACAATGGAAGTTCACCAGTTAATCAATTTTAATTGATATTTCTTCTTTTTTTGTGTCCAAAGCCCATACACGGACATACACATACACTTTTGTGTTTCACTTGATGGAGCAAATTTAAATTGAAATGAAAAAACAACAACCATATACCAGGATCTCTGCAGGATCATGTTCAAGATTGAAACAAGAGTCCTTGCAAAAAGGGACGTAACTCTGTACAACGGTCAACAGGACTACCTCAAATCCAACTGGAGGGTCAATTCAGCTTAAAAAAACAACAGGGTTTCGTATGTCTATGAGTATTGCACGTCTGGTTTGATGAGCATGCACGCAGTCGTCATTGCGTTCATGTGTCTGAAGCTATACATATCCAGGAATATATTCTACACGTAAAGGTAGATTTTGCATGACAAACAAGGGCATATGTTGATAGCCTCAAAAGTCATATTCGTTGTTTTTGCAAAGTGAGTGAGTGAGTATTGTTTAACGCCGCTTTTAGCAGTATTCCAGCAATATCACGGCGGGGGACACCACAAATGGGCGTCACAAATTGTACCCATGCGGGGAATCGAACCCGGTTCTTTGGCGTGACGAGCGAACGCTTTACCCACTAGGCTAACCCACCGCCCTGTTTTTACAAAGAAACCTGTGAGTTGACTGTCATTTTCATTTGCTACACAACATTATTTAACCAATAATAATATATGCCTCTGAACTCGACTGCCGTAAGTCAGTGGTAATGGCATAATTCATTTGAAATAAATCTTAATCTTTTAGTTAAACAATTAATTCCAAGCTTCTTGGTTCATAAAAAATGCTCACTCGTATTTATAATGAAATGCCTTTATGTTTAGTCCCGCCAATTAAGCTTTTTGAATGCAGTAGACGGGCGCATGCATTAAGCACCACGTTTAATGGAGAGCACAGGGTTAAATAATGGATGGTTATCGCAATCGGTTTGTTAAGGTTATATCATTCAACCTGATCTACAATGCTACCAATAACCTCAGATTAAGCTAAAATCGGTATGAATTAGGTACTCGTTATCAGAATGGTATAGCGGAAGTAGAGGAAATGGAATTGGTACATTTTGTGGTGTAGGAAAAGGTGACAAGATATGTGTTGGGATATTATTGTCGGATGGGATACGTGTTTTGGAGACGTCGAAGAGATCCTCCAGCACAGATCTTGATGCATATAGGAACATGATCTTTATACATGATCAAGAATACCTCAACGTCAAATTCAACGTCTGATGATGAGGAGGGATAGGGTTGTTCTAGCAGCTGGCGAATGTTGATACTGACATTGTGCTCGGTTATTCCAAACTAGATAGGAACATTCTAAAGAACTATCGACCTGTTTCAGATTTGACTTATCGTTCAAAACTAGTAGAGAAAACTGTTACAAAAGGACTAATTATTATTATTTGAATGCGCATGACATCCTGGATGACTATCTGTCTGGTCCAGACTCAATTATTTACAGACCACCGCTGGAATATTGCTGAGTGCGGCGTAAAAATAAACTCACTGGATGACTATCAATCTGCTTATCGTCCTCTAAACTCAACAGAGACCTTGCTCCTGAGAATTGTGAATGACCTACAGTGTGTTATAGACTCTGGAGATGAGGCACTATTGACCCTCCTTGACCTCAGTGCAGCGTTTGATACTGTAGACCACCACAAACCGCTCGATATCCTGCAGCATCAAGTAGGTATTGCCGGTACTGTGCTCGCCTAGTTCACGTATTATCCCTGCAACAGAAGACAATATGTGTGTGTCTCTGGAAAGTTATCTGAGAAAACAGTGCTCTCTTGTGGAGTGCCACAAGGTTCAGTACTGGGTCCAGCGGTGTTTCTTATCTATGTCAATCATCTCAAAAACGTCACTGACAAGTTTGACACTCCTCACTGCTCAAATGCTGATGATGTGGAATTGAATATATTCAATATAGGCTCTTTACTTTACTTACAGCAGATTGAAACATGCACGTCTGAAATAAAATCGTGGACGACTGAAAGGAAACTAAACTAAATGACGAGAAAAATGAGGTATTGTTAGTGGGAAGATGGCAACACATCGACAAGGTGAATAGGGATCAATTGAAGATTGCCTCTGTCTGTAGCTCTCCCTCAAGTCAAGCCAAGGATCTCGGAGTGCAGCTGCATTCTGGTTTATCCATGTCCTCACAAGTTGAAATCTGTGTAAGACCTGCTACCAACATCTTCATCGGCACAATCAGGAAGTACATCACCAAGCAGAGTTCACATATCCTAGTTAGATGTCTAGTAATTTCCCACCTTGACTATTGCAATAGCCTTCTCAACGGACCCTTTAAAGAACACATTAAAAGGCTCCCGAAAGTTCAGAATACCGCCGCAAGAATTATTTCGTTATCTTTTAAATATGACCATATATCTCCTGTCCTAAAATCTCTACACTGTCTTCCTGTTCAATACCGGATAAACTGCACAGTTCTGTGCATCGTATATAACTGTCTCAACAATATTGCACCTTCATATCTAACATCCCTGTTAACAAGTATGTTCCATCCAGGACTCTTCGTTCTCAAGATCAGCATCTACTTGTAGTTCTCCCGTTTCGCCTCTCTTTCTACGGAAAGATAGGTTTTCAACATGTTGATCCACTCCTATGGACCTCTTTGCCTCTCCACATGAAACTGTAACAACTGATTCTTTCAAGAAAACCCTTTTCTTCACTAAAGCCTTCCAGTGACTCTTTATTTTCCTTGTACATAGGTTCTCAGCGCCATGAGCATGCATTCGCGGGTGGACACTGGCGCTTTATAAATATCCCTATTATGTAGTATTATTATATAAATACTCATGTGATTTCTTGAGGGTTGGGGGACAGTGGGGTAGACTAGTGCTTAAAGCGTTCCTTTGTCACACCGAAACACACACACACACACACACACACACACACACACACACACACACACGTTCGATTGACAAGATGGGTGCAATGCGTGAAGCTAATTTCTTATGTCCCCCCGAAGTGATATTACTTGAATATTGCTAACTCACATACTCACATAGGATTGTGTACCAGCATCCTGAAAATAACTGCACTTGTTACCTCATTAATCCCCAACTTTTCACATATTGATTATTTTCTAATATACTTTAGCCATTGGTTATAATGAACATAATTGAGTGTTGTTTTCAATGTATTTATATATGTTTTCAGAAATTGCAAAATATGTTTCTGCACTCAGATAGGGTGCATGGGGGCAAAGGCTCCCAGGTTTTACCGGATATGTTTTCAGCAGTAGTGACATTTTCCTTGTACATTCAGATCATTTCCCCATATTAGATTTATCAAAATTTGTAAATTCAATTTTAGCCAGGTCGTGGCATATTTTATCAATTCATTTCAGCACAAAAAAATCAACTTGTTATGAGGTCAATAGTACACCCATCATCCTCACCAATATCATCATCGGACCCCGCGCCATTATAAGGTGGGGTGGAAAATATAGAAGCACCAGCACAATCGTCTTCCTCAATGTTTCTGACAACATGTACGCTTTAAATTCAGCAAAGATAACACATTAATAATGATGTTTCATAATAATTCAAGTTATATATTTTAAAACTTCAGTACCATTCCGTTGTCTGACAATAATGAATTAGGACGAACTTATACCATTTTTGAATTATAGGTGGTGTAATCACGAAAAAAACAAAGTTTCTTTCAACTTTTACTTGATATCTGTAAATGACAACTGAGGGGACCTTCAATGCTATACACTCTATTGGGGTGCGCTTACGAATCATGTCTAAAATCATACATCTTAATTATTCCTGCACAAATAAGGTTTTGCTCAAGTAAATTACACAGAAGAGAATATTTATCGGGAAAACTTAGACATTTAAGGTAGATAGTTTTCAAACTCTAACACTGACTTTGCTGAATGTCTCAAATCCGTCGCCATTGTGTTTTTTCACACATGTCCAAATCTCCTGACACTGACTCAGTTGTAACAACTACATCAATTTTGCATACTGCTATCT